GCGTGTCGAGTGCGCGAAGTGCAGGCGAGAGTGCGATTTGCCGGCTGCGCGCGCAACCCTCTGCGAGCGCGGTGGGGTGTGTGCGCGCGCAACCCCCATGCGGAGATCGGGCGTGTCGAGCGCGCGAATGGCAGGCGAGAGGTGTACTTTGTAGTATAACTTTAGTACGCGGAGTAGCCGGGGAGCTGGAAGATGAGAACTGGCGACTGGGTAGTACAACGTTAGTACGCGGAGTAGCTGGGGAGCTGGAAGCTGAGAACTGGCGAGTTTCTAGTACAAATTTAGTACGCGGAGCAATCTGTGGAGCTGGAAGCTGAGAACTGGCGACTTTGTAGTACAACTTTAGTATGCGGAGCAATCTGTGGAGCTGGAAGCTGAGAACTGGCGACTTTGTAGTACAACTTTAGTACGCGGAGTAGCTGTGTTGCTGGAAGCTGAGAACTGGCGAGTTTCTAGTACAACTTTAGTATGCGGAGCAATCTGTGGAGCTGGAAGCTGTGAACTGGCGACTTTGTAGTACAACTTTAGTACGCGGAGTAGCTGGGGAGCTGGAAGATGAGAACTGGCGACTTGGTAGTACAACGTTAGTACGCGGAGTAGCTGGGGAGCTGGAAGCTGAGAACTGGCGACTTTGTAGTGCAACTTTAGTACGCGGAGTAGCTGTGGAGCTGGAAGCTGAGAACTTGCGAGTTTCTAGTACAACTTTAGTACGCGGAGCAATCTGTGGAGCTGGAAGCTGAGAACTGGCGACTTTGTAGTGCAACTTTAGTACGCGGAGTAGCTGGGGAGCTGGAAGATGAGAACTGGCGACTTGGTAGTACAACTTTAGTACGCGGAGTAGCTGGGGAGTGGGAAGATGAGAACTGGCGACTTGGTAGTACAACTTGAGTACGCGGAGTGTCTGGCGAGTTGGAAGATGAGAACTGGTGATTTTGTAGCTGGGGAACTGGAAGATGAGAACTGGCGACTTGGTAGTGCAACTTTAGTACGCGGAGTATCTGGGGAGTGGGAAGATGAGAACTGGTGACTTGGTAGTACAATGACTTGGTAGTACAACTTTAGTACGCGGAGTACCCGGGGAGCTGGAAGTATCTGGGGAGTGGTAGTACAAGGGAGCGTAGTGCAAGCCATAGACTGAATGTAGGTGCCTATAGTGCTTAGGGCAGGCTTGGCGTAGGCTAATCATTCAGGACATGGTCTTCGCACAAGTTAAGTGGTTACATGTTGGCTCAAGGCTAGCTTTAGCCAAAATAGCTTTGTGGAGTGAAACTCTAAGAGAGAACCTCTCTGCTCAGCTGGCAGTTTTGGCGAGTGATCAGGTGGCCCAGTGGATGGCAAGACTGGGTGAGGAACAACGACTTCGCAGATGCCTACACCATCCAGATCTGCTTCGGGTCGACGCGCTAGACTCGCTAGACCCAGACCAGGCAAATACCCTGAATGGAGATGAAAAAATAATATGGTGTTCACATGATAACCAACTGCATGTCTCATACCGTGACTTCTTCCTGACAAATCCTGTGTGGACGTCGTTCTGCGGAAGCACAACACTACCTTTTCTGTGTACAAAGACTAGTCGCGAGGTGAACACCGAGAGTACGCTAAATCATCTACAGTGCCTGCTGTGTGTCGCCTCACGCTACTTTGTCGCGTTTTTCTTTGAGACTGTCAATTAGTCAATGACAAGCATATTGGTTGGTTAACTACACCCTAGAAAAGCTGTGTCCTGGAGTGAAGCAAACATTTTTGCCCGGAAGATATATATCGATGGACGCGTCTCCTCTGACAGGTCACTGCTTCGAGACACTTCTGGCGTGGCTGCCTCAGCATTTTCTGTGTTCATTCCAGCTCGCTTTTTTCAGTGAGATTCCCTGCAGCCGTGCACGCTGCTTCTCCCCTTACCAGCAGCTCACATGCTCATGACGATGAGCTGGGCTGTCACCGCTTGGCCGGCGGTGGGGTTTGGGAGGCCTGCGCGCTACTTCGTTCATCTCCTCTGACAGTTCACTGCTTTGACACACTTGTTGCGTACCTGCCTCGCCGTGCACGCTGCTTCTCCCCTTACCAGCAGCTCAAATGCTCATGACGATGAGCTGGGCTGTCACCGCTTGGCCGCCGGTGGGGGACTTGGGAGGCCGCATCACACACAGACACCCACGCACTGCCTCAACTTACACGAGCACACACACATACGCAGACTCATATACACACGGACATAGATACACACAGAAACCCACACGCTACCTCAACTCACTCGACTTAGCACTTCACACTGCACACTTAACAGGTAACTCGCACTCTGACTTCCTACGTGATGAAAAATGCTTTCGGGCCACTCGCCGTCTAGTTTTTGTGGCAACTCTCTCTTTGCGTAACACTGAGATTCTGAACAGCACACGTTCCACAACCCAAAACTTGTCCAGCAGGCTCTGCAATCCTGCGCAGCTAGAACTACATCCCAGCGCCCCGACCTCCTGAAACATCCTGAAACAATGGGAATACATTTTCGCCTATGTGCTTTCAGTTTAGGTGCACCCACTTGTGTCTTCCAACACGTGCGTAGCACTGTACCGAATTCAGATTGAGCCAGTGTGAACCACTGCTGAAACCGGTGGAATGAGAAAACAGCGGAACAGGCAAACGAGCACACTTTGCAAACAAAATCATTCGTCAGTAGTGGATTTACCTTCAAAGAAATGCAGACCACAAAGAATGCATGGCCTTGAGAATCCACATAAAGTCACTTGGAAAGACTGCTGGCCAAATCCAGAAAAAACGTCGGAGCTGAAGATCTAGGTATGTTAAGTTGGGCCTGTCCTGTAGCACCTGGTGTTGTCCTGCGACTGAGAGTGGGAAAGGAAATCGCTGTGATCTCCCACCGCATTTGATTGGAACCTATGGACCATGATGACATCACAGGTCATGTGGTGCTGTCCTCCAGTTGGCGCAAGCGGCAGCACACAAAACGCCGTCACAAGCTGGAAGAAGATTTGGGTGACTCGGTTGAAATGACTGGTGGGCTTGGAGTAATCGGAGAAATCCCCTCACATTGCCGTAGGTAGCTTTAAGATGCTTTAAGCTAGCTCGCCGAGCAGGGAACAGCTTGAAACTAGGACAATCCCATGCCACACTTGTATCTTGATTCTCCGTTATAGGATTGGTACCCACTGGTGTGAGGCATTTTGCATCCTCAATTCATTGATCTTGGCAGTTGAGACAGGGAAATCTTTGGATTTAAGCCCCTCGGAGGTCCAATATTTGGTTGCAAAGATGGATGTTGAACATCCTAGAGTTGATTTCCCCACGATTGCCTGCCAGAAGTGCATTCCAGAGACTGCAGAGACTACAGTGTGCACTCATTGGCTCCTACAAGAGAGTTGAATCCCGCCCCGCTACTCTAAGGAGCTTCCTTAGGCCGGTCTTTTTCATTTGATGCCTTCACCCAACTCGCACCGGAGCTACATGCCGGTGACCGTGTCCAAGTAATCAGGACTCTTACCACCCAAGTCATGAAACATGTTCGGAAATCCCAGAGGATAGTGGGAATCCAAATCAAATTAGGGCATAATTAGGGATTTCTGTGCGCTGAGAAGTGCATGCACCCAATGAGATTCATCAGATGAGACAGTGACTTGAAAGTTGTTCAGTGTAGTGTTTTTTGTTTTTTCCTATACAATTAGCTGGACCTGATTCCAGGAGCTACTTACAGGAGTTTGGACAGGAGTCCCGAGTTGCAGCGGAGCTCAAGATTATCGTCGTGGACGATTTCTTCCTGTCGCCCTTGTCAAAGGCACCAGCTAAGGACATATTAATGAGAGAATATGTGCTGCCGAGCGGAAATCAAGCCAGACTTAGACCGGGATTGGATTACAAGGGGGAGAAAGTAAGCTTTAACCATCAGCGTTCTTGACCCCTGTTTACGGCCTGAATTCAAACGCAGCTGCAGCCATGTTTTTACGGAACCATTGTGCTGGCAAATGTTGCCGGTGCGTTGCAGGATAACTATATAAGGGTGGAGCGTAGAGACATGTCGTGTACTGTAGAAGCGGTCCAAAAATAGGCATCTTGAGTGAACATGACTGATTGATAGAATCTGACGAAGACGGACCGTTTTTTAACATCTGAGTTGGCTACCGTTTGCCGTGGCAGGTCGATCCATTCGTTTGCGGAAGTCATCGCCTTTGCTGCTTGGATGAGGTGCCGGGCGCAAGCGATTTCGCACATGTGGTGAGTTCTCAGACACTGGCTCAGACCCTGGGTTTGTAGAAATGACGTGCCTTCTTTTTATACATGTTCTTGCCTGTGTTTCAGGGTTGTTTGATTTTGTTTGTTTGTTGTTCGGAGGGCTGCGTGTTGTTTTTCTATTCTTATTCTTCTTTGGATTCGTGCATTCAACTTCAGGTGGTTTGGTACTAGTAAGTACTACTGGTATGTCGTTGTGAGGGTTCCCATGGGCCTCACCATGACCCTCTTGGAGCTCTGCAGGCCGAAGACTACCTGTTGGAGCCCCTGGATGCTTTGGGCATCGATGCTTCGTGCAAAATCTTGCATTGCTACGATGAGGTGGTCACCAACAGTGGTCTCGTTCTTCAGGTTGGGTCGGCAGCTGACTGGGGCTGGGTCAGGTGGTGGGTCATTCAGATGGGAGCAAGTATATTTCTGAACAGACAGCGTACAGGAGGACTATATAGTATTATCTAGCATCAGTTCTAGCATCCATGCTGCCCAAGACGCTTCCGAGAGGCCAAATACATCTATAATTATGTATATTAGCATCTCATTGGGTGCTGTGGACAAAGGGTGCCGAGGAGTATGTCCAGTGTTGGCGACTCCAAGCCTTGTGAGATCTTGTGAGGATTTCTTCGTTATAGGTACCTCTTTCCTCGCTGCCTTCAGGTGGGCACAGGACTCTCTAGCGACCTTCTCAAGGAGGCCAAACAGTTTCTGCTCCCGCCCAGCGAGAGCAGCGAGAGCAGCCCGCAGAAATTCGAACGTCTTGGTTCCGGCCATTTTGATGGCGAGGAGGATGAGGAGTGGATGGAGAAGAGCTTCTTCCAGCTATGGGCGACTTTTGCCTAGAAAAGCCAAGCCAGGTGAGTCTGCAGGGTTGGACTAGATGTTAAGAAGAATGGGCTTGATGTGTTTGGTCATGTGACATCATGTGACCGGTTTAAAGAGCATTTCAACCGGTGCATGTCCTAACCCTGCGGAAGTAGTCTTACGAAAAGTCTCAACTTGTTTTCAAGCCACTTTAGCAGTTGGAGGCACTCAGTGAGGTGATCCTCCCGCTGCTGGAGGGGCAGCAAGCAGTCTTTGAGTGTCCTGGCTCTTTCACCAACGCACCTCACGTCTACAAGTTGTGCCACCTGCGCTGTGCGCCGTGGCCAGGTTCCACAGAAAAGGATTGAAAAAGGCAGCGACATCGGTCTCAATGTGTGATCACCGTGTGGTTCCATTCAGCAGGTGCCAGTGATAATGGAGCTGCATCACCATGGTTCGTCACCATGTGACACAGTCGAACATCACTGATCACAGATGAATACAGGTGACATGTCAAGAGCCTTCCAGCTGGGGGGTTGTTCAAGGAGCTTCCTTTTTGCTCATCGGAAGCTCCAAACGGCCGGAGGCAGAGATGGCGATCATGACGGAGCTACTTCGACTCATTTTGCGCAGCCCTTTTCCAATCGATGTGATTTTCAACTTCAATGGTGGTGAAGAGACTCCGCGGGGAACATATCGTGGGACACACGGTGGGATTGACCGGTTTGTCCTCAAATCCTGGTGCGTCACCTGTTTGAGTATGTCTGGGTTGGTGGACCACCAGGGCATAAGACGGATCTCAAAACCGATCCTGGAGGACAGTGAACAAGTGCCTTTCGGAGCTTCTTGTGAATCCAGTCTTCATCTCAGGCAACTGAGTTGCCCAAAGAAGCCTCAGAAGAGCATTACTACTAGTAGCAAGGTGCATCACTACTAGTAGCAAGGACGCTACTAGTAGCTTGTGGCATTACTGCTAGTAGCTTCCAGCTACTAGCATGGCTAGCATGTAGCTTTCAGGAGTGGCATCGCCTTCGGGGTCATGGCGTCGCGTTCGATGCGCCGAGGAAGTGCTGATGCCTGCCGCACATGGAGCCTGGGCTTCCTGCTTGTACGGGGTGGAAAATATTGACAGCAGTCCCGTGCACCTGAGAGGGCAACTCGGGATTTCAATTGCACACCCTCAAGTTTGTTGTTTTCGAAGAGCAGGGTGCTGGCATCCCAACTCCAAGCAATCTGCCAAAGAGCAAACAAACAGGCAAACAACTCATAAGGGCTATGTTTTCTTACGTGGCACATTGCTTCCTATCAATCACCACACAGTTTCAAACAGGTGTTAACACAAGCAGCACTCAACAGTATACAACATTGATTATTGAGATTCTGGCATAGCTGCATTGCATGGCAATGTTTTTGCATATGGTCGACAATATAAGGATTTGACGCACTGGATTCCCCTATTTCCACTGACCTAGGATTTGTGACCAGCCACCCTTGGGCCTCATCGATTTGTGCCTTGGCTTGATGGAAGGAGACTCGTTTAGAAGCAGTGGAAACATTCGCCGCCACACTAAGAAATAGTATTATGGCCATGCAATTATAGTCACTGTATTGTTCAGCTTAGAACAATATGCAGAATTCTTGAAATTTTGGTGGTCATCCTTTCCTATTTTGCCACCACTTGTTCTCGCTCTTTGCTCGGAGAAGGACCCCCCATCTCTTTAGCGATTCAGGTGCCCAAATCAACTTGGAAGCCGCAGGCCCAGGGCGTCGCGCAGCGTTGCAGGGCGTTGCAGGCTGCTGGAACCGATGGAGTCTGGAAGCCGATTTCGGCAGCCTATTCTTCTGTTTGCCCTTTTTTGGAGGGTGCATGACATGGATTGATCAAAGTGAATGAGGCTAAAGAACAGCTCGCCCTCAAGTCCCCAAGTGCTTTCGCAAGTGAGACCATTGGGACATATTTGGACCGAAGCTGCTGATCATAGGGTTCCAAACTTCTCTTGAGACGGCCCAAGGCTCCCAAGAAGAATTCCACAAAAACCTCGGAAAAGCAGTGATAGAACAAGCCTGTGTCGCCGAAGTCATCTGCAGATGTTCCATGATCTTCCTCAGGTTTGGGACCCATTGGGTCATATTGGATCCTCCTCAACCACACATCTCCACACCTGGAGGATCCAACGTCCGATGGATCCCAATTGCTAAGACGACCGTCCCGTCGTTCGGACCGTTGGATCGGGACTGTTACTACTAGTAAGGCACCTGTTACTACTAGCGTGGCACTTGTTCCTAGTAGCTTCCAAAAAGGCACAACTGTCTCGACCTTCCAAGCCTAGTAATTACAATTCTAATTAAATTTCTTTTGTTACTAGTAGTAAGGCACTTGTTCCTAGTAGCTTCTTGTTACTACTAGTAAGGCACCTGTTACTACTAGCGTGGAACTTGCTTCTAATAGCTTCTTGTTACTACTAGTAAGGCACCTGTTACTACTAGCGTGGCACTTGTTTCGAATAGCTTCTTGTTACTACTAGTAAGGCACCTGTTACTACTAGCATGGCACTTGTTTTGAATAGCTTCTCCTCAGGCTCCGGAGGTCGAGAACTGCTCTTTCAAGCTGGGCCGTCGAACCGGTGGAGTCACGGTCGGCGTTGCGGAACGCGCGAGTCACGGTTGGGTGGGTGGGGGGCGAGGCCTGGGTGGGGTGCGAGTCAAGGTGTTTCTGTGGTTGGTTAATTTTTTGTTCCTGGTCCAGACTTGGTGGAGATTTTGCATGTATGGCACGCTGCCGGCTGGGTACTCTTCTATAGAGAAGTCCTGGTGAGGGTTTTGAATTGTCAAGAGCATTTTGAGACCCTAAAGGGTTTGGAAGACGGAGCTTTCGCTGATGTAAGTTACAGTTTGTTGCTTCGTGATTGGCTTGCTGAGGATCGCTGAAGCCTACAAGAGTCACGTGTCGCGACCTTATGGGTCATCCATCACGCAGGCACTTCGACGGGGTTCACTTGAGAGACTGTGGTGTCGCGGTTGCTTCTGGAGTCCACTTTTTGCTGGATCAAGTTGTAATTATAGCGAACTTCCGAAAGATATCGTTAAATTCGATTGACAAATATTCCATCTTGTTACCGTCCCAGAGGTGGGTTAAGGGATAGAATATTTGGTTGCACACACACACACATATATATATATACAGTATACATATATTCTATGTATATGATGTATATGTACATACATAATGCAGAAGTATGCACGTCAAGCTTATATGAGGGGGCAACCTGATTTTGTAGCAATTTGAGCAATTTGAGATTCAAAGCACTGCACTCAGCAAGAGATAGAATATGTTCGTGGTTTGTTTGTTGTGTTTTTTGTTGATTTGCCTCCACAATCCCATCACATTGCACAGGGTCAAGATTGACCGACCATTGATCATTGGGGTAACAGTAAGGGAAAAAAGATTGCGGCAGTCGGCAGCATGTCGGTCTTGATTATTCCATCTATTGATTGGTTGTTTCTTGCTTATTCCATCTCTTTATTGCCCTCAGGGTGTTTGCGATTATTCCATCTCTTTGTCATTCGCAAAACAATATTCCATCTTTCAGGAGAGTGCTATATAGAGTCGGGATTGGCTGTAGTTGCAGCCACGCTGACTCCAAAGTGAACGCACAACATGCCCCTGGTTGTCTTCTGCATGTGCTGGTCACACGTAGCTGCTTGAGATCATACCCGTACATGCTGTGCCCGCCCATCCTGATATCACATTGACATGACATGACATGACATCATGTGTTTGCACACCTTGCAGCATTTTGTTGACTGCCATCCACTCCCACCTCACCTGGTTTGATTGTTGGCTGAACAGGTGGCCTGTGCATTTGACAGGTTGCTCGTTACGTTATAGCTTTTGAATTGGACATTGGCCTCCACTTCTTTACCTCTGCTTCTGTCTTGTGCTTTGCCCATCATGATGGTTTCACATGCTTTCTGGCAGCCCCCCTTCACTGACTGGTGGCAGTCTGGTTCTGCTGAGGAGTGATCTTAGCTTTGTTAGCCCGGTCCCCTGGAGGCCTTGTTTCACACGGGCCTCATACCGGGGGGAGACGGATTTCCGCATCTATCGTGACTTCGGGGATATCCCGGGCGCGGATTTCGCAGTGCTCACCAACGGCTGGGTCTATCACACCTGGAGGCGGACCACGGCAGGGAAAAGAAAGCTTTCAGGTGTTGTCTTCTGCTGTCCGGAACAAGACGGATTTCCTTAGCTTGGGAATGAACAACTAGGTTTGTTATTTTTGGTTTTGATGAGGTGGTGTCGTACTTCAGAGTCGATCGTCCAAAACGCAGCAAACACCAATCTTTTCCGTTTCCGAGGGATGACTTGGGCCATTTGGACTTCCGCTCGGTGCAGCGCTATGGGGAGACCGTCTTCGAGTTCGCCACGGGCTTGGCCAAGAAGTTGAAGGAAGGCCAAACCAGCTCCCTGTCATCCTAAAGGCCTAAAGTGTTATCCTATGTTATCCTCCTGCTGGTTTGGCTCTTGTTTGATGTGATTCTGTTGGGTATTTGATGTGCTGGATTGGATGATCCAGCGGTGGAATGCATCACCAATTCCAAAGAGTTGATGAAGCACCAAGCAATAAGTGGTGCCAAACACAAATATATAATAGGGATGAGGCAGTTTTTTGTTGCTTCATTATACTTTTTCATCTATATTCTAAGATTCTACTTACTTCTACTTCTAGAAATCCGTTCGCATAGTGAACCACATCTGTAGTCTGAGCCGCAGGCCGTCCCCATGGTGCGGAGGTGGCCGATGCCGCGGTGTTCTTCGATGTCGGGGGCCTCTTCTTCGTCGAGTACGCCGCCGCCAAAGCGCAGCAGCTTCACGTGGCGGTCGGCTCGGTGCCGCGGACTCGATTGGTGGAAGACATTTGAAGAGCATATAATCCAACCTACTAGCGATGGCCTCCAACCTACTATTATACAAGAATAATATACTTATATATCGAATATCTATAAGAGTATCTATAAGATTTACATGTATACATGATGAAGATCATTTGAGCATTTGGCTCGTTTGGATCAGTTGACTTTATGATGTTCGTGGACTTTTCGCGTCCTGTTTGTGTCCTTCGATCAGAATCACCTCTACACAAGGTGGCGGTCTCTGGCCTGCTCTGGTTTGGCGGTTGGCGGGTGTTGCTGGCTGCGGCGACGCCCGTCGGACTTGAAGGGACTGTGACAGCCAGTGGGCCATTGCTGTTTGGTAGGGATGGGTTTCAGTCATCGTAGGGGCGCACAGTGCAGTTGCAGCCGGCTGCAGGGGTTTCTCTCTACTATCCGGATACTGGTGTTTGCGCCAAGATTCCATCGCAACAGCTCCAACTGTGTCTAGAGCAGAACTGGATGTGTTGAAACCAGGAACTGATTTGCATGTCTTGGACCCTGTTTGAACTGGCCACGGCTGTGCGCTAGCTGTGTTGATGAATGTTCATGCCATGTTGTACCCCTTTGCTTTTTCACGCTTTCCCCGTTGCTTTGGCAAGGAAACTTCTTCTTTGTGCTTTGGCTTCTACTACTTTGGCCCTACTCTCTGGGATCCTGGTGGCTTCCACCCCAGCGGCTATGGTGGCAGCTGGGCACCCGGAGCTGGGAGCCTTGCTTTTCGTGCCGCCCACAGTGATTGGATTTCTGGGATGCTCGGCCACAGTGACAGAGACTGGACCAGTGATGTTAGTGATATGTGGGAAACATACCTTGAAGAGCGGATGTCATTTAATTGATGTTCATTGATTTTCGGCTGCTTTTTGCTCCTGTGCTGCAGCTGGGTGCTGTAATTAGATGCTTGGAAAGGAGGGCATTCGGACCATGTCCCATTACCTTACCTTCGTTCGTATTTTGATAGCTTCCTTTCAATCAAACAACTGGTAGATCCACGGCCTTCCATCGAGTCCCTTGCCCGCTGGCTGAGGATGTTTTCAATTTTTGAGGGTGGAAGAGGTGGAGAGAGGATCCATCGCGTTGGCTTCCATCCTTAGCTTAGCCTCCTTCAGCTCGCCACCAGCACGTTTTTTCTATGTTTGATCATTTGTGTGCCCGTCGACCGTTTCAAGTCATGCGACCTCTGTTCTTGTGCTCTCGGGGATTGCCCAAGTCAAATCAAGTGAGTGTGGAATGGCTGTTTTTCTTGACTTTTCTTCCTTTTTTAGCCCCCGGCGCATGCAAACACCTTTTGGGACACGAGGTTTTGTCTTCCAGCCCAGTCACCGTGATGGCATCTTATCCCTTTTTCCTTTGGTCAGCATTGCCAGCGCTGGCAATGGCACTCAAAGCTGTGATACCGCTGGCTTCAGCTCCGCTTGCTGTTGGCTCCTATGTGCTGCCATGGATGTTGTCCATTCAGATGTGGCTTTGCTGAATCCCAGATCATGTTTAGCCCCGGTAGCTTCTACTGGGAGCTCCTAGAAGGTGGAAACAGATGCTGGACCTCTACATGTAGAGGGGGGCTGAACTCTCGAATCAAGCGACCAGGGCTGTTCAGAGCTGTTCCGAGTGAAGCCGGGTGTGTGTGAACTGCACGCGACAAGTCAAATGAATGACGATGGTTTTCGATGTGCAACACGTCCGGTGTAGCGTGGTGTGGGACTTGGCACCAATACTTAGGAGCAAGGACGCTACTAGGGGCTCCTGGCCTTACTACTAGGCGCCAGGACGCTACTAGGGGCTCCTGGCCTTACTACTAGGAGCCAGGA